CCTTTTTGTCGTTGGCCTCGATCTTATTCTCCCCTGATTCTATATGTTTCGTCAATTCCTCGAGCTTCTTTATAATCTCGGGGTTAGCCCCCGATTCATTTTCGTTCGACCTTTCTATGATCGGTTGATCCCTGCGGGTGACTTCCCGGGGAGGATCAGGCTCAACCTTGCTCGGTGCATGATATTGGTTTTGTAACTGAGCTATTATTGCCTGTTGTGCCTGTAACATTTCGAAGATCACTCGTAGACTGATCCCGTCCCCTTCAACGTTTTGTGTGTTTCGAGTTGCCGGTCGGGCTCTACCACGAATGCTATTTTCGGGGTCAGTAGGCAAGTTTGCATCGATAGCCATATGTGAAATAGCATCAATCAGATATGCGATCGAAATTTCATCGGGATCAGCAGGTGGTATCTCGTTACCGGGTGCTATGTTGTTATTTTCATCTTGGTGATCGGACTCGTTGTCAACGTGCAAAGGCGCTAATTTAGAATTGACATTTTTTATTTTAGCCTGGAATCAAAGACACTTCAAAGAGCAAGAGTAAAGCAGTGTATGTTATGGAGATTTGTATCAAATAATCACTATTATCCTTAGCCTCATGGTGGGCGCCAAACGTTTACCCTAAAATCGGATAATAATTGAATTTATACGCGGTTTTAAGGATACGTGATATAACTTGATACAAATTGAAAGAACAAATAAATATTGAAATTAATGATAAGAAAATAAATGCAAACAATACAAATTGAACAGCCTTAGCCTTGAAGGTTGGTCACCCTCGAGTCAAGAAGTGCCTCAATCGATGTCGGAATAGAATGACAAGATAATAAGAACTAGAAATAACAGTGTATTGCTTTGGATGCATTTCTTGATGGCTGTTACAAATGATCAGACCCCCTTTATATAGTAGGAGAGTCCTACTCTTGATATAATTCTATAAAAGGTAAAAAAAAACCCTCATAATTTTCTAATTAATCGGCCTCTCCTTGTTACATACGATTTTTGCCGTGATATCCAACCAATTGCGGATATTTTGGCCTTTCGTTATTTGGCCCGATAAAGTTTCCTCGATCTGGTTCGGTTCCGGAGTCACGAGCTCGATGATTTAACTTCGCGCCTTAGTTCGATATAATTCGGGGTCGAGCTTCAACCTGTCACGTTTCAGTCCCGACTTGTCATACAATAGACGAGCCCGATTTCGACCGTATACACCCTACTTAAACCCAAAAGTTTGTGTGGGATAACTCTTACCCCGTGTAATGAAGGTGTTGTTTTACTCCTTCCTCTTTCTCTCAAGCTACCACATGCCTTACAACTAGGTTTTTTAACAAGTAGAATTTTCATTTGGAAGTCTTAAATAAATATATTTTGAAATTGTCTCATGCATGCTTGTTAAATTTTTTGATGTAGTAATTTATCTTAATTAATCGTTACTTAGCCATTGAAGTTGGGAATAAATGTTTATCCCAATTTATTTCGGGTAAAATCAAATATATTGAACCCCATATGTTCTATTTTTATTTCAGTAAACCATACTAATAAAAATATATTCATTAAATTAAGTTTCCCAACCAAATAACCAGTCTATAAACAAAGCCATCAATAATTCCGTGTCATACTTCTCTTTTCTACGGGGGTCCAGAGATATACCTTTTGTACTTGTTGGAGCTGTTGTCTGAATTGCTTTTGTTTGCTTTGTTATAGGAGTAATTATTTTTTATTCATTGAAGGCGACCCACACCTACCTTGTGGCCGCAAAACCAAGTTTTCTAGCAGTCGCTATGAGTGATTGCCAAGCTTTGAATTTTTAGTTCATGTACCAAAGTTGTTTATAAACTCTTGACATAAGTCCAAAATAAGTATCATTCTTTTAATAAACTAAACAAGCGTTTGCAATTTTTTTACAAGTTAACCATTCCTCTAATAATTGATTGGTACAATTTTCTAAATAGTTCAATAATCATTTTAAGGGTATACAAATATTTCTTTTAACGAATATATCAAAACGAAGTTAATTTTAGCATTTAAACATTAAAGTGAAATTAAATACATATCAACTAACCATTATTAAGTGATAAATTTGTATGTGTAATACATGTTTTGCATTTATTGTTATGGTATAAATATTTGGTGCGGATAAGTAATTTTAAATATAATTAAAATGAATTGGAAGTAGCATACTTGCAAAATATAAAGGTGGCTATATATATATAGTGGTGCATGAGAGACGAAGAAAATAACTTTGCTTCTTCAAATGGCGGGCGAATTAGAGGGAGTTAAGGAAAAGCTGGTGAATAAGAAAGAGTACTACGAGAATTGCCCAGGTTGTAATGTGGATCTGCACAAAGCAGGGCAACGTGGCTTGCCCATTAAGGAGCTTTTCACTATATGGATTGTGATCCTTGGCACAGGTACGTAATTAATGGATCCATTAGTTTTAGCGGATAGTATATGTTACAAATATTGAAAAAGATCAAAAGAAATAACCTACCTTCCCTTACCATGTTTTGCGGTGAACGGAAAAAGAAGAAAATTATGTTAGGTTTTTGTTATTTAAGATGAAATAGGCTTAAAATGAGGGTGAATGGGAAATGAAGGGAAAATGAAATTTTTTGAGTAAAATTTTAAGTTCCCCCTCTTGACAATGAGACATTGTCCCATATTGGAAGAGGAAAAGATTTTTGGTGGGTATATATATAATTGCTCTTCTTGTAGCTCTTAAAGAGTTAAGAAGAAAGCAAGCCTCGCGCCGTCGTCGTCATCGCTCGGCTCGGCTACGGCTTCGGTCAAATGATCGGGTGGAGGGTCGTTCATCTTCAAAGCTGGCTGCTATATATATGTGCAGCAGCTGTTGAAGAAAGATACGAACGACGAACGAAAACACCAACAAAACTGAAAAAACGCTCAACTTTGGCTATACATTGCACTCCTTCCTCTCAGCATTTCCATACGATTTTCTGAGTTTCTACTTCTTTGTTCTGCATTGTTTTAACTTCAAACAAAGCAACTGTAAGTGTGATTTGCTACCGAACTTTGTGTTCGCTGAAACACTGGGGGTTGAAGTACCGCTACACCAGTGTGTAATTCGTTCTATCCTGGGAAAAAATAATCCATAACCTTGGGTACTAGGAGGGGATTAAATTCCTTAAGGAAACACTGTGAATTCAGTGGGCTCGAATTAATTACTGTTTCATTACGATAACTTATATTTTGCAGAATTATTATTTATAAATATAGCAATATTGGCGGGACTAACAAATTATACTATATTTTAATATTTACAATAAACCAATAAATACAAGATAATGTAGTTTGCATACCTATATTTTGAGTGAGAGTCATGAGTGATATTTCTCACTTTACTCTTTAAATGGTAAGCATAAATTATTTGATTTGAAATACATACAGGAGTAAGGTTTTATCGTATGGTATTGGGTGCTTTGTGTTTTCCCATTCTTTGTTTTGCTGGGAATTTGGGTTTTATGTGGTCGAGAACGAGAAAGCAAGCAAAAGTTTACCATTTCAAAGTGTACTTCGTTTTCATGCGGACAAAAAAATTACTCCTTACGTACTACTCCATTATCTAGTTAATAAAACTTTTATTATATGCCCTAAATGCTTCTATAATGTTTTCCTATCATCAGTTTTCATCTTATTTTTAATCTCTGTTTTAACTCATTATTAAAACGGAAAAGGGCCAAATATATCCCCTACTTTTGTTTATTGTTCAATCATATTCTCCCTTATACTTTTCGTTCATATATACCCCTACCATCCAACAAAGTTCTATAACGGACATGACATGTGGCACCGTCTAATTGAAGGAACCAATCCCAAAACAAAACAAAAAACCCAAACCGGTCTAAAATATGACCCATCCGCCCCGGATCCCCTTTTTAAAACGTCAAAGGGCCAAATATACTCTTCTACTTTCAAAAATGATCTAATAATACCCCTCGTTATACTATTGGGTTATCTATACCCCTGCAGTCATACTTTGGGTTCAAATATACCCCTCATTTAAACGGAGGAACACGTGTCATCGTCTTGTTGGCTAATTCTAAATATCTCATAATTAATTAGAAAGATCCATTACCCATACCTGAAAAGCAATTTTCTAAAGTAATTTTTTTTAATTATAAAAACTGGAAAAAAATGAATTTCTTTTTACTAAAAACTGAAAAAAACGAAAATGCTTAACTGAAAAATATTTTCTAAAACAATGTTTTTGTAAAAATTTGAAAAAAAAAAACTGAAAAGCAATTTTCTAAAGCAATGTTATTTTGTAAAAACTGGAAAAAACTGATTTTTTTTTACTAAAAACTGAAAAAAACGAAAATATTTGTTTTCCTGTTTTTACAAAAAAAACTGCTTTAAAAAAAAATTAAAAAATATTTTCTAAAATAATATTTTTGTAAAAACTGGAAAAAAACTGAAAAATAATTTTATAAAGCATTGTTTTTGTAAAAACTAAAAAGACAAATATTTTTTTCCCCAGTTTTTAGTTAAAAATATTTCAGTTTTTTTCAGCTTTAAATTTCTTTAGAAAATTACTTTTCAGTTTTTACAAAAATATTATTTTAGAAAATATTTTTTAGCTTTTTTTAAAGCAATTGTTTTTATAAAAACTGGAAAAAAAAATATTTTCGTTTTTTTTCAGTTTTTAGAAAAAACAAATTCAATTTTTTCCAGCTTTTACAAAAAAAAATTACTTTAGAAAATTACTTTTCGGGTATGGGTAATGAGTATTTTTAATTAATTAGGAGATATTTAGAATTGACCGACAGGATGATGACATGTGTCCCTTCGTTTAAATGAGGGGTATATTTGAACCCAAAATATTACCACAGGTGTATAGATAACCCAATAGTATAACGAGAGATATTTTTAGACCATTTTTAGAAAGGTATATTTGACCCTTTGTCGTTTTTAAAATTTTACCTACCCCACCCACCCACCCACCCAAACATCATTACAATGAGCTGCAATCTTTTAAAAAAAAGAACGCATGAGATCGAAACTGTAATTTCCAATAAGTAAACATAAACCATCAGATTTGGCGAGTAAAGAAGGATCAAACACGTAATATATACTAATCTTCTAATTTTTTTAAATAAATTAATATAAAGCATGAACTAAAAAGCTAAATCAAAATCTAGCAAAGAGATATTGAAAGAAGGAAACAACCCAATTTAACAATTAAGTCAAAAACTTTACATAAAATAGACAAACCCCATTCAAGAGTATTAAGAGCAGTAGCAGCGCCTATTCGTCCTGTGAAATCTCGATGTTTACGGGCTCTAAAATCAGACCGTCAGTGGAGGAAGATTAGCCCATTGAGAGTGTAAAAACGACATCGTATTGTGCGTCCATCGTTTCATCTACCTCTTTTCCGACAGTTAACTGGTCGGGAAACGACCACTATTACTGAAAAAGCCACAGATCCTCCATCATTTCTGGTTAATAACCGACCCTGTCTAGCCCCAATCTCTCTTCTACTGCCCTTCACAGCCCCCAAAACCTCACAAGATGAAGGAAACGACTATCACTAGTCATCGGAGAAATCTCAGAGCATAAGTGTCCAACACTTTTGTCTTTTTCTTTTTTTTTCCGGGTCAAAGAATTTTTTAATGTGGTACTTTGGTCGTGGGTTTTAAGTGGGTATGGGTTTTTTAAGTTGTGGGTCGGGTCTTGTGTCATGTCCGTTATAATAAGGGTAAATATAATATTTTGTTGAACGGCAGAGTATATGTGAACAGAAAGTATAACATAGGATATGATTGAACAATAAATAAAAGTAAAGGGATATATTTGGCCATTTTCCGTTATTAAAATCATTATTGTTATCATAATTATGAACGCTTTCTAAATGAAAGCTTTAGTCTTATCTGATAGGTATCACTTCTCAAGTCAAAATTCATTCTCTTGAGTGCGAAAATTTACAATTGCTACTTCTAACTGTTTTTCTCCGTTAAAGTTACAGAAAGAAGATTGCTGAATATAAAAGGGATTAACATCCAAAACAAGAATTACGAATATGTTCAGATAAATTCTTAACGAAGATTAAAAGTACAAAAGTTATAAGTATTTATCTAAATAAATCTATTTATATGTCAATTTGGATTATTTTTTGTTTAAATATTCAAAACCTAATCAACCAATTATACGTCAACATTACCTTTTAGAAATATTTCCAGAAAGCCTTTTTAATTTTTTGTGTGGGGTTATTTTGCTAAGACAGAGCCTTTGAAGCATTTCAGACCCCATTTTATCTTTGAATAGACTTCCCCTTTTGACAAAGTACATATTGGCAACTCGGCCTTACAGTTATTTTCTTATTCCTGTTTATTTTTTTACTGCCATAAGTTAAAAATAAGGAAAATCGTAAGTTAAATTTTAGAAAAGGAGCAGGTGAAAACCAATATAGGACGAACGAGTAGCTTTTCCCGGAGACTGCAAACATTTTCATAAAAATTATGTGAAAAATGATGTTGAGTTTTGACACTATAACACGTTTGGAAATTTCTTTTTTCTATGGTTCAAAATTCCAAATTTTGGATCATTTTTAAACTGCCTTTCTTTTAACCTTTTCGACTGTTTAATAGGGAGTTGTAAGCTGTAAATACTTGTAATATTCTTTTTTTTTTGGGGGTTGGGGGGTTAGTAAAGAATGATTTATGCAAGGATTTAACTTATATTAAGTGACAATGTAGATGGGTGTAATTTAACTTGTTGTAAAAGATTATTTGTCTTGTTTTAATTGCCTTTTAAGTGACGTGAAAAACTATAAGCTCTCATGGACCATTTAGTGTGAAGTATAAGAAATTTAATTTCCATATAAATTTCCGTATTACATCTATATAATATCTGGTACCTGATATAAATTTTTTTGCATAGCTAATATAATCCCCGTATAAATAATATATCATCTGGTTTCTAGTATTAAACTTTGCATAAGTTATGTGGAGTTCGATACCAAATATGAAGCATTGTATTGCTAAATCCAGTATAGCTTATACAGGAATTTTATGACTTATTTCATACAATATAGAGTATGGGATAAAAGAATATTACGTGCCCTTAAATTATACAATCCTTACATGTCAATCCATGCTATTACGGCAAAACAATCCTGCATTTTCTTGATAAACAGTTTATGCTATATAGTTCATAATCCCAGCATAAACCCTTGTGCAAACAGTAGGGCAAACTCCAATAGCAAAATACTAGTACTAGTTTGGAGTACTATGTCTATCCCAGTAGCAAAATTGTTTAAAACTCTGGCAATTGCTCTGATTATCCAAAGGTTCTAATAATTTTTACTTCCCATGATGTAATTTACACCAATGCACTTGTCTTTATTTGTCTCTACTTTTTACTATATCCTGCTTGGAGATGATAACTGCAAACAGAATGGTTTGATCAAAGTTCTGATTTATTCATGGTTTAATTTCTTGTACTAGATGCCATGTTAGTGTTTTATATCACAGTTACTTCGTCGAAAGTCTGATACTATTAGGAATCAGAATTTGAGTTCATGTTCTGGAAAATTCAACATATATGTGGTGAATTAAAGGGAGATTCGAATTGAATAAGCAGGATATCCTTACATTTTGAGGAAGAATAGTCTGATTACCACAGAACATAACTTTCCAGAATAGGATATCCTACATTTTACCAAATTAAGTTGAATGCAGTTTTATGAGTGTACAAATAGTCTCATCAAATATTGATTGTTATATTATATGAAAGAATATGAACATCAAGCTCACAACCTTAAGGCAATAACAGTGGTAGTTTCTTAACTAGTATAATACATTTTGAAATAACAGTGGTAGTTTCATACTAATATTAAGAAAGAATTTTTAGTCTATTTTGATGGTAGTCTGCCGCTAATATTCAGCTGTCCCTTGGAAGCGCTGGTGAAAAGCCTATATTGCCTTTTCAAAGTGTTTTGTTGTATGCAAAAATTCTAGGTTAGCTTCTTAGAGCTTTTCTTTGTATGTTCATATATTAGCTAGCAAGTTTGCTTCATTGCTGTACTTGAAGACAAGTTTTCGATAGTTATTTCTAAAAGCCTCCTTTGGGGATCCTTCCTTTGATTTTATCTGTTGATATTCCGACTGATTTTGTTTTTTTCTGTTTCATGGGATTCAACACTTCAGCACTTCCAATATCATCTCTCTTTCCATTTCTTTATTTCATGGTAAGATCAATCAACTTTTTTGGTCTGTCGTTGAGTTCAAGTTTTCTTGAATACATAGAACTAAGTGAAACAAGATATCTTTATTTAAGAAGCAGAATTGCAATTGGTCCCCTTTGTTATTTTCTTGATTGCATAAAACTACTAATTTTCGCTTTCCTTACAGATAAGGGACTTTCACATTGCAAAGAGAGAGGAAGATATTAGTTACTATGCAGGTTATGTAGGTAAGCTTATTTCATGCCATAATTTGTTTGTTGATATGTAATCATACAGAGGTCTGTCGAAAAACTGCCTATCAATTTCCTGAAATATTGAAGGTTCTTCATATATGCTTGGAAGAGCTTTGACATCTGTCTTTTGGGGACTAGTGGCTGATCGATATGGCCGAAAACCAGTTATAATCTTCGGCACTTTTGTAGTGTACGACTAATCTTTATAGAAATGCTCTTTTTTAGATTTCATTCACTTAAATTTCAGTGAGTTTACATATTTTTAGCTGTAATTGTGCTTCAGGGTTATTTTCAATACTCTCTTTGGTCTTAGTGTCAACTTTTGGATGGCAATCATTACGCGATTTCTTCTCGGTTCTTTAAATGGTTTGATTGGACCAATAAAGGTATTCTATCTGTTTAATACCATCATACAATTCTGTACTGCATCCTCAGCTATTCTCTTAAGATACTTACCTTCTTAGGCATATGCTGCTGAAATTTTTCGTGAAGAATATCAAGCACTGGGAATGTCTACGGTAATATGCCCTTAATTTTCAGTTATTCAAATGATTTCTAACAAATGAGAGGATTGCAGACAACTTTAGAGAGACAAGAAATGGCAAGAATGCAATTCTGAGTGACCATTTAGACAGTGAATTTTATGGAATTTTGTTTTATTTTTCTTGTATGTTTGAATTGTTTCAGATTAGTACTGCATGGGGAATCGGATTGATTATTGGCCCAGCTTTAGGAGGCTTCCTTGCCCAGGTACTTTCTTTTCCTTAGCTATTTCCTTTTTGTATTCCTTCCTCCTGTTGAGGAAAGAGAGTTTAGTTGTTTTATGATCAATTGTAAGAGAGATTTCATAGCCTAAAATTCTCTGTGTTTCTACTTGTAAGTTTCTCTGCAAATCTTAGCATATATACATGTTCTCTAAATGTCCTTTTTACCAAAGCCTGCAGAGAAATATCCGTCAATATTCTCTAAGGATTCTATATTTGGGAGGTATTGTGCTTCTTTCTTTTCATAGTTGTATAACTTCTTTTGCTGCTTGAATTGCTCCTTGACTCCAAAATATGATATTTTTCTGCAGATTTCCCTACTTCTTGCCTTGCTTAATCATATCACTGTTTTCCTTGGTCGTGGCTATTGCTTCATTTTGGCTGCCGGTAAATCTACATGATTACGTTAATAATTTCTGTGTCTATGGCACATATTGTTTAATCTTGTTTGCATTAGTATTTCACCTCTGAACTAACTTGGATTTTGCATAAACTCTTAATGGACAATCATCACACATCATTTCAGATAACCATATTACTTTATTTTCCAGTGTTGCTGAGAATGAGAATCGTCTAGCCATCTGTTTCCTTTTAATATTTCGAGTTATTTTTGGCTTCTGTACATTCATGAGGTGGGTGGGGAAGGGCTTGTTCTAGTTGCAATTCCATTTCTGATTTAAACTTACCCCGAGACAGATCGAGGTTTGCCTTAGTTCTTTTTCTTGTTGGTGCTGGGAGTCTACAACATGTTGAAACTTGAAAGAGAGGAAACTCAGGTTTAGCTGGTGAAGTGGAGGAATGAGTCGGGAGTTTCATTTTCCGCCTCTACATATGTGGCATTGTGTTGTGTAGGGTAAGGAGTTGCTGTAATAGGGTGTATTTCTGGTGTTTCAATGATGAGAAGCTCTTTAATCATAAATCATAATGGAACATTTCTTCATCTTACCTATGTATATAGGTTTCTGAATTTCTCGAACCACATTAATCTGTGTGTGTCTCTCTCTCTTTTCTTTTTCCTATTACTTTGTTCAGTATCTTTTCTGGTTTTCCCAGTTTTAGTTGAACTGTGTTAAATCATAGAATTTCATCCCTAATGCTCATGGATTGCAGGAAACATTGCACATTCATGAATCAAGCATGCCGGTGCACGATTCATACGAGGCTCTGGAGGCTGCATCTGATACAAAAGAAGGAAATGAATCAACCCCAAAAGAAAACCTATTTAAGAATTGGCCGTTGATGTCATCCATCATATTATACTGCGTCTTCTCTCTTCATGATATGGCTTATACAGAGGTATACTGTATCTTCTCACCCAAACTATGTCACTGTAGGATATAATCATTGCATCATCAGATTATGGTAGGCATCTTCTTTTATAAGAAAGATAAAGCTATGCATATCTCTGGTATGAAAGCCAATTGATTGCATGTTGTCATGCAATGACTTTATTGGAAACACATTGTACTTTCATCCTTAGGCAATGCATTAGATATTCCTAAGGGACAATATTGGTTTATGTTATACATAACAATCATCCAAACAAGCTGTTATGCTGATCTGGTGGGCTGTATCATAGAACCCTCCAACGGTACTGACCAGGGTTCGGTTGTTCGGATGCGCAAATTGTTCTTCAAATTGATACACATATTAGCCGACCCCAACTTGTTTGGGATTGAGGCGTACTTGTTATTTATGTGCCAATTTCTTTCTGCTGCACAGTATACTATGAAAGTAAAGGGTTTCTCTTTTTGACGACAAAAGAACTGTCTCTTTTAAAATTCTGCAGCTCTGTCTTCTGCGTAGAAAGCCTAGGCTCATTAGCTTTCAGAAGCTTAATAAACGTTCTACTTACTACTCATTCTGAGGATAGGTGAGCAACAGCAATGGGCAATGTTCCATTACCAATACTCTACCAGTATAAAGTTTTCGGCCCCAGCATTCCACTGTAAACCTTTTTAGTAGTGTTTTTTCTGTATCTATGAAGATATTATGAGTGCTGAGTTCTGACGTTCAACTTTTAATCTGTTGAAGATTGCAAATTCCTGGTGCTGTGTAGTCATTGTTTTGTTCATTGATTTTAGTATGTGCATGCTATTTGCAACTCTAGGGGTATATGACGAAAGAAAACAACAAATTGGTCATATCAAGAGGATTTACGACTTCTAAGAACGTCTTTGTGTATCATTTATCATGAGTTGCAAAATACAAATAGATCCTCTTCAATTTGTTTGTAGGATTTTGAAATTCCCACCAGGGTAAACATAATTAATACGTTTATCATGATTGTTCTTTCAATCTTCTGGCACCAGGGAAATTGCATAATAATACATTACATCATCCCAAACCTATTTTCTTCTGCAGATTTTCTCATTATGGGCTGTGAGCCCCAGAAAGTTTGGGGGCTTGAGTTATTCAACTGCTGATGTTGGTGAAGTACTATCAATCTCAGGTACATCCCAATTTTCTAGTAATTTATATTCTTTTACTGATATATGAACCTTACTTGCTGTTAATAGTAAGGAAAGAGTAAAGGAGGTCTGGAATTTGATGTATGAAGCAATAACCAGTGAATTTAATGTAAAACTTAATAAAATTGTATGAATAGCCTCTGTGGTTTACTAACATCAGGCACACAAGCTGATGGTGTCAACGGCTATTGCCTTCAACTCTCATCCCACATTCACCCCTATATACGTTGTAACCGCTAAAATTATTTGTTTATGCTTGTCACATCTAATCAAAAGTTTAAGAGAAATGAGTTTATATTATGTATTTCACCAAAGTAACATTTGGTCAATCAAATGTGTCTAACATAGATTGGTAAGAATTCAGAAGCACTCTTACTAATTCTTTTAGGTTTATGTCTACTTTTTGCAAATCATTTATGAATGTAGCTAGTCAAATTCTATGATAGTAGTTCAAAATAACTTGTTAGTTCCTCTCTCTTTAAGCCTCCTGTTGGAAGATATTGTCTATATCAAGGTCTATTCACTTAATTGAGAACTAATTCAATGTTGGCTGTGATTGCAGTACAGATGATAATTCTTCATAGTTATCAGTTATTTATGCTAACATTTCCGTTCTTGAGAAGAATACTAGACCACAATTGTGTTTCCATAACATTAGTATACTGTTATCATTCTCTAGGAGGGATTTTATATTGGTAATCTATTGAAGAATTAGCTCAGGCAGAAAGTTATTTTGAAAGCATCTGAATTGTCTGCTACCTTGTTTGACATAGACAGAACTGCAGTAAATATATTTCATTTCATATAATATGATACTGGATACTGAAATCATGGTGGTGTTTCAGGGTTTGGCCTTCTAGTTTTCCAACTAACTCTATATCCATTGGTTGAGAGGTATGTTGGCCCTGTTGTCATTGCTCGAGTTGCAGGAGTAAGCTCTTGACTTGTACAATATGATAAACTGTGTGAGTTCTGTCCAAACTTCCACAGAATCTTGAAAGGTTAATTTAATTTCCCTGATATGATTAGGTTTTGTCGATTCCCTTGTTGACAAGTTACCCTTATATCGCTATGCTGTCTGGGATCGCCCTGTCTGTGGCAATAAATTTTGCATCCGTAATGAAGAATGCTTTGTCTGTAAGTGATTTTTCTGGTTTCTTTAATTTACTTTGTGCAAGACTAAAAATGAGGAGATGAATGAAATATGGAAGTGAATGTGATATTCTTAGAGAAGTAGACCTCTCTATTATCACGAGTATATGGTACACCACTCATATGGAAGCAAAATTACTATACTTGAACTATATTCTACATCCTAGTATTGAAATTCATAATCTCAAGTTCTAACATTGACTTTGAATTGTCTCCAGATCTCTATCATAACAGGATTGTTCATATTGCAAAACAAAGCAGTGGTAAATTCTTCTTTGCTCCCTCCTTTTAAAGATAATTTGTCAATTGCAGAAGCATTATGTCATAATGCGATATGCTTTGCTTGGTGTCGGTCTGATGCTAAATGATTAACAACCACAGAACCAGCGACAACGGGGAGCTGCTAATGGAATTGCCATGACAGCAATGTCAATTTTCAAAGCTCTCGGTCCTGCAGGGGGAGGAGCACTGTGAGTTCACTTGTTTTATCATTCAGCATTTATTTCTGCTAATTATAAATTGTATTTTTTCTGATTGATTATAGAAAAAAAATCTCCTATTATTTCTGATGTGGATAAAAAGATGCTTTTCTATTTTAGTCTTGGTAAAGACATTAATAAAGATGAAACCCTTTCTAAACGGTGTTAATACATACTGTAGCATATGGTTGAGGATGCGACAAACTCTTTTTACTACAAAATTATTCTCCAGATCTACTATGGTTTTAGTAACCATTTAACTAGGAGAACCATATTAATGCAATATCCCAATTTAGCGGTTAACCTTAAAATTTGTATATGAACATGTCAAAGGCTGCAACCCCATGATCATCACAAGTGCTAGTGGCCAATATTTTCAAAGCATCTGTACCAAAAAAACTGTCTCTCTTCCAACTAAATCATAGCAACCACCTGGTTTTATTTCCGTTGTTGTAAGATCATGAAGATTTGGAATCTATTGTATATGAACTTGTTCGTATGATCTACATGGTAAAAGTAAATATACAAGAAGAAAAAGCACTTCTAAGATTCCACCTAGATAGGCTGAAAGCAGTGGAAGGTTTACTGAACAGTGCACAAGCACTAGAAGAATTCTTTTGAAATGCAGTTTCTGTCCTTTCAGTTGTCAGGGAATAATGATTTTCATGGGGTTAAAACTACAGATGATCTTGGTTTTTCCCATTTACTTGCACGAGTGTCTGTGATGGCCTGCCAGCCTTAGACAGAAAAAGGCGGTGATTTGTTAGTTTGAACTTACAGCAAGTTCTATCTAATCAGGCTTATGAGACACATGGATCAATTAACGGAACTAGTCTTTCTATATAACTACACAATGCGCCTAATTTTCCCCGTAGACATTTTACCAGTTAGAGTTGTTTTTCTTTGAGCAGCTCAAAGCTATATACTATACCTGTAATTCTGTAGAATTCTTTTAAGTAGAGAATAGTGCATTGGCTCTCTGACAATTTAGTCATACATCAGATGACATAGGTCCAAGATTGCCTTAGTGTCAATAGAATCTTTTGATTTTGATCCTCGAAGACACAGCTATGACATTTAAGAAATGAGAGGCAAATTGGACCAGTATCTTCCAAATTGAATCTTGAACTTGAGAACGTAGAATAGTGATAGATCTTGTTGTCTAAGACAGACTATCTTCTTTTTCGGGTGATAATACCGGGGTGGAAAATCGGAATATGTTTTTACTTCTATGCTTTAAAAACTTTCAGATTACATCCCCATCTATTTTCTAACAGCTAAAATTGTCTCTTTTTCTGGATTTGTGCAGCTTTTCTTGGGCGCAAAAAAGGCTTGACGCTTCCATTCTTCCAGGTAATGACTCGTTGCTAAAATCATATTTCTACAATACCTAGATTTTTTGCCTCTGTGTGGTGGAATGAGGTGGTGGCTTTTGATAGAGCCTAGAAGCATAAAACTGTCATGGGTGGATAATTTTACACACTGCAGATCAGCAATGCCGTGAGTTGTCTGAGTATAGCTTTGGATATTTCAAGATCTTTATCCAATTTTCTATTCAAAAAGCATATCTTTTAACTGTTGGAATCTTTTTTATGTTCTATCTATCGCCGAGGTCAGGATCTTTTACCTCTGAATCCTGGAACCTTTGTCCTGTCACCTTTCAGCGATGAAGAGATACAAAGAAAGACATTTCCTAAGGTGACACTAGTGGTTTTGCGCTAGCTGCAAAATGCTAATTCTGTCACTTCTCTTGCCCCTTCTTAATTCCATATTAATCCAAGAAAATTGAAACTTTTCTTGTTCATGGTTCAAGAGTCTGAAATACATTTATGAAAGCTAAGTTTGCAGCTAAACCATTTGAGAACTTGTTCATCTTCTTTGCTTCATCCAATTTTATATGACAACTTTTGTGCTCCTCTTGATGTATTTGCTGTTCCGACAAACAAATGCCTAAACTTTATAAGGTATCTGAGGAAGTTACATAAGACAGATAGTTTATACTGCACATAGTAATTTATTCAGCTTCATGTCAAAGAATTCTGAAGATTATATTGCCAAGTTTTCGCTTTCAAGTTCTTTGCTCTCTCCTTTATTTATGTTCTACTCTATATAAGTAAATTTGTGTCATCTCAAATGCAGGTGATCAGGTGGTTTTCTTTGTGCTGAATGTGATTGAGGCAATTGGTGTGCTGATGACATTCAAACCATTCCTAGTTGAAACACAAAATACATAGTAGAGAGCTTATGGTCTTTTTCATTAATTAGTTCACCTCTGTTCTCTTTGTATCTTTTTAATATATATCATTTTTTTCTGCTGGCAATAGTTTTGAGGTTAGAGGCTCTTTTTATGCTTGTGCAGGATGTGTATTTTTTTTTTGAAAAGGTAACATATTTATATATAAATAAAAGACTACACAAAAGCTGTGAAGTCACCCATAATTACAAGGAGGCCTAATAAGAAAAGACACTCCTAATCCTTTGTCTTCTCATAAGGATTCTAAAACATCAAAAATAGATTCATGATCTTCTAAGTATTCTCCTTTACACTAAAAGTAAAAAAGAACTAAACATTTCATTTTCATCTTTTGAATGTTACTGTATCTATCTTCAAAGCATCTTTGATTTCTTTCTTCCCAGATTGTCCACCAAATGCAAGCTGGGACAATCTTCCATCTCTTTTTATTACTGGATAGGTTGCCTTCTCTGTTCCAACATGTTAAAACTTCAGGTATTCTTCTTGGCATAACCCACAATATTCCCCTCAAATTGATTAATATCCTCCATAATTGTAAAGTCACTCTACCGTGCAAAAAGAGATGATTGATTGTCTCTGCCTCCTCTCCATATAAGTAACATCTAGAACATAGTTGAAATCCTCTCTTGATCAAATTATCCTGAGTTAGAATTGCCTCATTTGCCAACAACCATGTAAAGCATGCTACTTTATAAGGAATTTTAACCTTCCAAATCAATTTACGCGGCCAACAACCAATCTGATTGTTTGAGATGTTGAACTCCTTATATGTTGCTTTAACTGAGAACTTCCCTTTGCTATTCTCTTGCCATGTGACATTGTCTTCTGCAATAGAGGTCCCTTTGAATCGTTCCAAATTCTTATAGAATTCTGTAAATCTATTAATCTCCCAATCATTTAATAGTCTTCTGAAGGTCAGAGTCCATCCTTGATTTGTCCAAACCTCTGCTACTGTTGCTTCCTGTTGTTGATTCAGTAAATAAATATCAGGAAAGAGATATTTTAGTAATCCTTGACCTAACCAATTATCATCCCAGAAAGATACCTTCAAACCATTTCAAATTCTGAAGTTTGACTTGTTAATGAGCTTGGGCCACAGATTTCTAATAGACTTCCACAAACTGACCTCATATGGATTTCTCACAAGCTTGCTTATCCATTTTCCTTCCATGCCATACTTTTGTCTGACTACCTCCTTCCATAAATATTGTTCTTCTGAAGCAAATCTCCATAACCACTTCATCAACAAACTTTGATTCTGGATCTTCAAGTTCTTGATTCCCAATCCCCCTTCCTTCTTGTTAACTGTGAGAGAGGTCCATCTAACTAAGTGAATTTTCTTCTTGTCATTGTTTCCTTCCCATAAGAAATTTCTTCTCAAAGCATCTATTCTATTCACCACATTCGTTGGTATTGGGAATAGAGACATCATATATGTGGGCATAACATCAAGAACTGAGTTTATCAGGATCAATCTTCCTCCCATGGACAGGTATTGGCTCTTCTAATTAGCTAGCTTCTTCTCGCATTTCTCTAAGACCCCATTCCATATCCCTTTTAACTTTCTTTTGGCCCCAAAGGCATTCCCAAATACACTCTAGGCAGGTTGCCTATTTTACCACCAAGTTTTGGAGCTCTATTACCTCATTAACTAGATAAACAAAACTTTTATCCCAGTTAATGTGTAAGCCAGAAATGGCTTCAAACAGGATAAAAATGACCCTCAACACCTGAAGGTGACCTCTATCAGCTTCACAAAATACAAGAGTGCCATCCACATATTGTAGATGGGAGATCTCTAGTTGACTACCTGCCCTAGAACTTACCCTGAAACCTCTTATCCAATTGTTTATCTGAGCTGTCTTTAACATGTCATTCAAACCTTCTATGGCAATGATGAATAAAAAGAGAGATAGGGGATCACCTTGTCTCAAGCCCCTCTAGGAAGGAAAGAAACCAACTGGTGAACCATTAATCAAAATTGAGAGTCTCATTGTACTAATGCAGAATTTGATCCAATTGACCCATCTTCTACCAAACCCCATCTTTCTTAAAGTCTTTAGCAAAAAGTTCCAATTCAAATGATCATAGGCCTTCTCAATATCCAACTTGTATAAAATAACAGGCTTTTTGCTTAGTATCATTGCATTCACATATTCATTAGCAATTAATATGGCATCCATTATCTGTCTGCCTTTAATGAAGGCCATCTGATGAACTTCCACCAACTTATTCACCACCTTCTTGAGTCTCTCCGTCAACAACTTGGAGACGATTTTGTAGATGATGTCTACCAAGATAATAGGTCTGAAGTCTTTCAGTTCCTTGTCTACAACCTTCTTAGGAATTAAAGCCACAAAAGTGGCACTAAAACTTTTCTCGAAGATACCCTGGTAATAGAAGTTCTGAACATCAGTTACCATTTCCTTATTCACCACTTCCCAGCAATATATGAAGAAGGCCATTGAATACTCATCAGGGCCAGGTGCTTTATCCCTGGCACATGCCTTCACACTATCCCATATCTCCTGAACACTAAAAGGACTTTGAAGCATTTGATTGTTCTCAGTAGTAATCCAAGAAAAATTTCTAAAACTACCTTGTGGTCTCCATTCCTCTTCTTCATAATATAGATTTTGATAGAAAGTGACAATCTCTTTCTTGATAACTTCAGGATTCTGTACAAATATCCCTTATACTACCAGTTCCTCAATGTGGTTGTATCTCATGTGTGTATTTGCAGTTCTGTGAACAAATTTAGTATTTTTATCCCCTTCCTTCAACCACAAGGCGCTGGATCTTTATATCCATGCCACCTCCTCATGTTTTGCAATTTCCTCAAATTCCATTGCTAGGGCAGTTTTGGCATAAATTTCCTCTTCATTCAAAGGCCACTGGTCATTAATCTCCTCCAATTCTGCAAGCTGGTTAAGTACACTTGTCTTCTGCAATTCCAGATTTCTTTGTAAAGTTCTGCTCCATTCTCTGGGTTTTTCCTTCAGGGCTTTCAGTTTGAAAGCCGTAAAGGAATTCCACCAAACTTTGATCCTGTCTATAAAGCCATCAGTTTGTAGCCACCAGTTTTCAAACTTGAAATAAGATTTAATTGGCTCATTGTAGCATCAGAGGTGAATGATCTGAAGTTACTCTGTGGAGCATTAATTGTTTAATATTTCTAAACCCATCATTCTAGTCAACAAATACCAAAAATATGTCCAGTGTAGCAGCTATGAAATGTCTGTCACCTTTTCTCCACGTGAAATCACCACCTGCTAATTATAAATCTACTAATTCCATATCTTCAATGAATTCTGAGAAGTCCTTCATGGCTCTAGTGATTCTGTTGTAATTTTTCTTTTCTGAAGGAAACCTCACAGTATTGAAATCTCTACACACCACCCATGGCCCCTTAAATAAACCTCTGGCCCCAGCCAATTCCCACCAAACATCTTCCCTTTCTACTCTATCATTAGGGGCATATACACTAGACAAATGCCAGATAAGTTCCTTAGTTTTACCAGTGCAGGTAATGCAGTATGATCCCAAGCTGCTAATTTCCCCATCCCATATTCTTTTGTCCCACAGCACTACAATACCTTCTCTAGTCCCAGTAGCTTCTAATTTTACAAATTTCCCCCACCTATTAGCCCATAAATCTTTTACAATCTCAGTAATATCCCCCTCTAGCTTGGATTCTTGGAAGCAAAAAACATTTGCCTTCCAGCTGTTCATTAGACTTTTGTTAGCACAAATAATGGAGATAATTTGTATGGAGCAAATGATTTGAAGAAGATGACCGAAGAACAAAGCAAATCTAGAGAAGCTACAAAGTTGTCTTCGACATAAATAAAGTAAAGAAGTGAAGATATTAGTCTTCAGACATTTGGACTAAAAAGCTACATATGGAGGCCTAATTAGCATTGGATTATGATAAGAGAAAAATATCATGCATAAGTTGAGTTGGAATCTAATTTTTAATACTAATATTTTTTCTTTCTTTGCAGGAAATAATTAAACTAATAAGAAAAAGGAACAATGAGAAGAAAAAGTTCACTTTCCAAATTTGCAAAGAAGAACTATAACGTTGAAAATTCAAAAGTAAAGTGGTGTATGCAACTTTGCAAATGATGAAAGTATTTGTGCACATGAAAAAATTCAAGCAAATGACCCACTTGCCGATTTGGAGGATTACATTTCAGCAAACTTTACAACTACAAGCACATGTGTAATGACCCAACCAGTCATTTTGACTTTTAGAACCCCGTACCCTAAAATAAAACTTTCCGTATGTGCTTTTAATAATTTATGACTTGCGGGGATGGTTGGTTCGGGATTTGGAATTGCGCCCCAAAAATCACCCGTGGGGCCCACATCTCGAAATCCGATAAAAATTATAAAATCCGAACCCCCATTCAACCACGAGTCCAACCATACCAAAATTGCTCAAATCTGACCACAACTCGGCCTTCAAATCCTCAATTTAAACTAAGAGGGTTTTCAAACTTTTCCAACTTAATTCACCAATTAAATGATAAAAATAACCATAGATTCGGGTAATTTAACTAATATTGAGTTAACAACACTTACCCCGTTGTTTCCTCTGAAAATCGCCCAAAACACGCCTCAATCCGAGCTCCAAATCGTTAAAAATGGAAAATGAGTTTCTGAACTTAAACTTTCTGTCCAGGCCTCTCTTCTTCGCGAACGCGACAGGTCCCTCGCGTTCGTGAAGCACAACTCGACTGCCCACAAATTTAACTCTCCGCGAACGCGATCGTGGCTTCGCGAACATGAAGCTTTGCAAATCTTACCCTTCGCGAACACGACCACGGCTTCGCGAACACGACCACGGCTTCGCGAACGTGAAACTTTACCAGCTCAGACCTTCGCGAACGCGTATAACAAGAACCCGGGGTCCCCAATCGCCTCACTCCTTTTCACGAACGTGACACCTTCCACGTGTTCGCGATGCACACATAGACCATACCTTCGCGTTCGCGTCTTCCCCTTCGCGAAGGCGAAGAACAAAACCTCACACTCAGAAAACACTCTTCGCGAACACGAAAGAGAAAATAAAAAAAATGCAGCAACATATATCAG